TTCATACCTTCGGTGTATAGGACGCAAGCAGATTTTGACATCAAATTTTGGGGTAAAAAAGTGTGTCATTTCCAATTCATATCATTTGTATATATTATTCTATACATTACAATTTGATAATGTCTCATAAACCCAGAAATGATTTAATTATACTTTCTTACCCTGGTCACTAAACAATGCACTCGAACTCTGATCTCCAAGAAACATTCTCCGGGCAATACTTCTTCGATACCATGCCTTTGGGAAGGCAAGAATCTCTGTCAATCGACGCATATCATACTTGAATGAGGCAGAACCAACATCACAGATGGCTAGAAGGTCAAACAATGTATACAACAACTATTTTACAATTAACTTATTCTTTATTTATAACCATATGTTTATTAATATATCAGAGCTGAAGATGAATACATTTTCTAAATAACAGTAAATTAACGTATTCTTTATTTATAACTGTATCTTCACTAATGTCACAGCTGAAGATGCATATGTTTCTAAATAATAAAGCAAAACACAAACGCGATAATAGGAAGCATTCATTTAAACACTCCAGAATCATCAAAATTCCATCATCAGTGATTTAAAGGTACAAAACAAACAAACAATATTTATAATTACAACAGAAATAAATACATAAGAAGTAAACAATTTGAATACAGAAATATAAAATGAGAAAATGAAAAATGTGGCACAAATGAAATAGTTGAATTAAAATACGTTTAAATCTAGTGAAGAATATGTATTATTTAGGAACAGAAGAAGATTTTTTCATGTATAATGTTTTTTTTATAAGAAGTTCAGTATCATGTATGGTTGTTGAGAGAATTTTAAAGTTGGAGAGAGAAATCAGATATTCTATTTCTTCATTGTGCTGATAGATAGCAGAGTTGGGAGGGTTTGTGACCTTTCTTTCAGTTTTTATAGATATGCCCATGTGTTCACATGCTTGTACTTTAAGGTGATGTTTGGTTTCACCAATATAGAAAACCTTACAGTCTCTGCATGTGTATAGGTAGAAGAGATGATAATCATGGGCCGTTGGCACACATCTTTGTAGCGAAAGATATTTTAGCAGAAATTTTTTTTATTAGTTCACATGGTTACTTCAGTATTACCAATAGTATCATCACTTTACTAGTTCACAAATGGTTACTCTAGTGTTACCAAGAGTGTCTTCACTTTTCTAGTTCACACACGGTTACTCTAGTATTACCAAGAGTGTCATCAATTCACTAGTTCACACACGGTTACTCTAGTATTACCAAGAGTGTCATCAATTCACTAGTTCACACACGGTTACTCTAGTGTTACCAAGAGTGTCATCAATTTACTAGTTCACACACGGTTACTCTAGTATTACCAAGAGTGTCATCACTTTACTAGTTCACACAGTTACTCTAGTATTACCAAGAGTGTCTCCACTTTAATAGTTCACACAAAGTTACTCTATTGTTACCGAGAGTTTCATCACTTTACTAGTTCACATTATTACTCTAATATTACCAAGAGTATCATCAATTTACTAGTTCACACAGTTACTCTAGTATTACCAAGAGTGTCTCCACTTTACTAGTTCACAAACAGTTACTCTAGTGTTACCAAGAGTGTCTCCACTTTACTAGTTCACACAGTTACTCTAGTATTACCAAGAGTGTCTCCACTTTACTAGTTCACACAGTTACTCTAGTATTACCAAGAGTGTCTCCACTTTACTAGTTCACAAATGGTTACTCTAGTATTACCAAGAGTGTCTTCACTTGACTAATTCACATTATTTCTCTAATATTACCAAGAGTGTCTCCACTTTACTAGTTCACAAGGATACTCTAGTATTACCAAGTGTCTTTACTAGTTCACATGTTCACTACAGTATTAACAGTGTGTCTTCACTTTACTAGTTCACATTATTACTCTAATATTACCAAGAGTGTCTCCACTTTACTAGTTCACAAGGATACTCTAGTATTACCTAGTGTCTTTACTAGTTCACATGTTCACTACAGTATTAAAAGAGTACCTTCAATTTACTAGTTTGGACATTATCTGTAGTTTTAAGAAGAATAACTTCATTTTACATGTTTACCACAGTTAAATATGATTCAACTGGAAAAACCTTCATAGCCTGCACTTTACCTAATAATTATTAGTTCACAATGCAGTTAGTTACATGATACCATCAAACTATGAGTAGGTAAATAATATTTTATTGAGACACACAATTTTAACCGTGTTTCACAATCTTAACAAACAAGACAGAGTTAATAATTCCCATTGGTTAACAATAAATTTTGAAAAACATAAAAATAAATACCACGATTAATTTCTGAAAGTAGGCTTGGAGACTATTAACCACAAGAATATTTGTCATAAAGACAACTTCAATCTAAGGAAAAGGCCTAACCATTATAGCAAAATTTTCCAGTTTTTACTTCCAAGCCCAATATTTCTTTTACTACTTTAATTTTTATGAACAACTCACTTGCTCTTGTTTGCAAATTCTTCTTTTAAGAAGGCTCAGTACTGAAAGTAGGAAAATCCTATTTCTTTTTACCATTATTTCTTGTTTACTGCAGAATGAGATTAAGATATTTTTAACCCTAATCAAGCTTTAAGAACAAGTCGGTTATTTGAGTGCTTTTTTTTGCAGTAATCTTTAGCCCACCATAGAAAAAAGAAAACATACACCTTAGACTGGGAATAAAAATATCATACCAGAGAACCTAATTATAGCACTACTCCCATCCACACTTCTGGAACCTTTAGATAAAGCAGCTTCACTGGATAAGACATTCAGCTTCCGACTCCGAGATATGTTGACTTTCACAAACTCTACTTGAAGACTGAGAGAGTCTTTCCTCTCAGCTGTTGTTAATGGAGATTTCTCCCCTTCTTTAGCTGAAAACACATTAATATACTACACACTTAACATTAAAATCAATAACACTAGCCCAGATTATTCTTTTCATTTTTAACATAAAATTGTCCAACAATCTTTAATAAATTCTTTGAACCAAAACAAGAAAGTCCAGACATTCTCAATTTAATGCTGTTAAAAAAAACACAAAATAAAACTGTTTTGACAGAGAATTAAACCATAACAAAATTTCTCAAAAAATTGTTTTAAATGCCATGATAGATAACTGTATCACAAAGATAAAAATATTTGAAAAAAGTGCTAGACAACAAACTTCAGTCAGCCCCTTGTATGGAGCATACACAAAACACCACTGTTGTACAAGTTCAGAATATATAAGTAAGATAAGTTAATACGATATTGTAATTAATAAGTGGTTAATATTTTTACTTAAGTAATTATTTCCCACACGTGCAATATTTATCTCTGCTCATATTGTTAAGAATTTCTTGCCTTGGTTAATAAAAAAAAGAAGACGTTATTGTCTTTGATAAAGGTAAACCACTTGCTTTAAGATCATGGCTTCCAGTTTTTGTGTTTCATAATGTTGTCTCAATCTCCAAGAGAAATCATAAAATCTAATCCCCATGGTTGGCAGTAGGTATGATATTATGGTTTGTTGAATATTTTAATTATTGGAGCTTCACTCTGTTACCTGTCTTATACTTTTGTTCACTCTGATACCACTTATTTTTCTTTCTTGGAGTTCACTGACCAGTATTAATGTGAATTCGTGTGACAAAGTTTGAGTTACAACCAGGCCATCTTGTTGGGCTATTGAAATAAAGACTGTACAGGAATTGTCATACTTTTAGCAATAATATGATAATCAGTATGTCTAAATCATACTAGTTTGCATACCTGGTATCCTGATACAAATATACATATTTCTCTGCTCCATGAAATAATGAGCCATATAAAATCATCATGTTATAAATCCACTTACCAGAAGCTCCAGACTTTTTAGAGCCTCCATAAGGGTGAAATATGTAGAGGGAAAAGTCAGCTAGACAGCCAGTCATACTGAGCCCTCCTGCCGCTGTCTGGTTCATGGAGCTGTCGAGATTGTTCTTAGATCCACTTTCTTTTCGACAGTGTGAAGCTGCAAAAGAAACTTGTAAATAACCATAAATATACTTAACAGCTTAAAAAGTACATCAACAGAAATTAAGTCAGAGCTTAATCCAGACTTCCTTTAAAGAAACTGTACACCTATTAAGAGAATAATAAAACAATACCATGAAATAATACATTCAACATGTCTATCAACCATGCATGAACAATTTTAACAAAAACCCAAACAATGCTGCAAATGAAAAGGATTTCACTTCTAATAATATTTTTTTTCATTGGTTGTTCTTTGGGATTTTATTTAGAACATTGCTTTATTTACTTGTATTAATTGCACTTCAAAATTTCCCCAAAATGTAATACTGTGAAAATAAATTGTTTAACTTAATTGTTTAACACTTCTTTAATGTTCTGCAAGTTAGTGTTTTATTCTCTTTATGATAATTTAGTCTAATTTATTTCATGTTCTGATTCTATGGTATATTATTTAAAAACGATCTACCAGAAAATCAAAATTTACAAGGTAAATTGGTTACTAACAGAAAAAAAATAGAATACATGAAAGTGGTTACTAATCAGAGAACAAAACAAAAAAAGAAATGAAAATGGTTACTAACAGAAAACAAAAACATAAAAGAAACATAATATAACATTCTGGGACAACATGGGATCTACTGGTCCATCTTGGCTGCTCCATCCTCTGAACTAGATTAAAATAATAATAATAAAAAAAATTAAACCCAGTCCTTATCATTCAGATAGTTATCAAGCTTTTTCTTAAACTCACTTAAATTTACTATTTCTACAACATCCAAAGGCAACCCATTCCAAAGGTCAACCACTCGGATAGAAACATGAAACTGTCTTAGCTTAAGATGATTCCTACCTTGCCAAAATTTATATTTGTGTCCCCTAGTCCTATTATTCTCCCTGTTATGAAAAGAGATGCATCAACACTATCAGTTCCCTTTACAATCTTAAACACTTCAATCAGATCCTCCCCCTTTCTAAGGCAATATTTTCCCTTAGTGAAACCATGTTGACTATCCAATAAAATTCTAAACTTTGTTAAATGACTTTACAAAGCATCTTTTATCAGACTTTCCAGAATTATTCCCACAACTGATATAAGACTAATGGGTCTATAATTACTGGACAATTATTATCACCTCCCTTGAAAAGAGAAGTTTCATTAGCTAACTTCCAATCCTCTGGTACCTGCCCACTATTCAAGGAATGACAAAAAACAGTAGTAAGTGGCTCACATATCCAATCTTTAACCTCCTTCAAAACCCTTGAGGAAATATTGTCTGGCCAAGGAGCTTTATCGTTCTTTAAACTTCCCATATTTTTTCTTAACCAGCTCATAATTAATGCAGTTTGATCTCATGTCCATTTATCAATTGTTCAAGATGTGGAATACTGCTTAAATCTTAGTTAGTAAAAAGCAAAATTTACTAACCCAGCCATCTCATAATCATTAGATACTAGTCTTCCTTTATCATCCCTCAAGAAATCCTTACTGTTAATTTTTACATTTTCAGACAAACTTTTTTCATACATGCTTTTTGATGTCCTAATTTCCTGTTTCACCAGCTTCTTGATCTTTTATACCAGTCATATCTGTCATACCAGTCAATTTAAATTTCTTAAATTTAAAATGCTTTTCTTTAATTTTATCTTTTAAACGTTTTGTTAGCCAATCTGTTTTATTTACTTGCAGCTACCCTTTTCTTTCTATTAAGAATATGTTTATATTGAATATTTAAAATTTTCCTCATCTGATCAGTGTCTCAAAATAACTCAGCAGCCCAATCCCCAACAAATAATTCTTGTCACATCCCTTCAAAATTTGCTTTTTTGAAATTTGCAAACAAAATATCATTATTCCGTATCTCCATATGCAGCAAAACATTGAACCTAACAGAGAAATGATCACTTGTACCCAGATGTTCCCCAATTTCCACCCTCTCGATTATTTCTATATTTGAAGTTAACAATTAATCTAAAATAGCATTGTTTCTAGATGGTTCCTTGACTAACTGGTGAAGAAAGCCATCTTGAACAGTTTCCAAAAACCTTTCTCCCTCATGATTTGACTCTAGCATTTTCCAATCTATATGCCTGAAATTAAAATCACCCATAATTATAATTTCAATAACAGCTGAAATCTTTATCTCATTGTAAAGTTTCTCACTAATTTCATCCTCATCATTTAGCGGTTGGTAACAAATTCCCACTAAAAGCCTTTTCCCTTTATATCCACTAATAGAAGCTCAAATAGATTCAATCTCTTTGCTATTATATTTGATATCCTCAACTTCAGCCAGGATGTAATTCATATTTTACATATAAACCACTCTTCCTACACCCCTTTAGTACTCTATCCCTACTAAATAGCCTGTAACCCTGTATTTCAAAGAAATTTCTGTCATCA